AAATTATTATAATGGAACCTTAAATTGGACTGTTTTTTCTTTTAATATATATATATATATATATATATATATATATATATATCTATATATATATATATATATATATATATATATATATAAAACTATTATTAGTTTGTTCCATATATTCGTTCGTTTTTTTTCTGACATTCTGCGAATATCTCTGAGAATATTCTTTGGTTGCATTTTTTGTTTCTTAGTGTTTCTAGTCATTTTGTGAAACTCTTGTCTAACGTTACTGAAATTTTATTTCAGCTTAGACACCCTTTTGAGATGGAATGCTAAGCCGACAAGAATGAGCGTGTTCGACATTTTCTATTTGCTTTTAATCAAGGTCACAAAGCTCTCAAAGTTTTATGGTAACAAATGAAGAGGCTTAAAGATAAAATTCAGCAGAAACGACCTGGCCGACAATCTGATTATTGAATCTGACAACACTAGCACTCACGTCGCTAACATGACCAAATATGCAATTAAAGTGTTCGGTTGGAAATTTCTGCCATACCTACTATATTTCCCTTATTTAGCCGAACCAGACTACTACATTTTTCGTTCGGTTTTTTAACAATTTGGAGGGTTCTTTATTCAACAACGATGTCGAGTTTAAATCGTAAGTGGCTTAATGATTTGTTTTTAGTCAAAACTTAGTGTTTTCTATCGTCGATGCATTGAACAGTAGGCAGGAGGTCGTAAACAATGAAGGGAAATAGATTGTTAAATGATTTTTCAGAACTATTAATAAATTTTAATAATTATTGTTTTGTTGCCACACATCAGCCATCTGTTCCATATCTTTGAAGTACAATTCCGCTGTTTTTATATGAAAATCTTTTGAAGATGTCTTAAATTTGGTTTTCATTAGGGAAAATTTCCTCTTCAAAACGTTTTTGTAGCAATCGAAAAAAGTAATAATTGTTTGATCCAAGGTCATGGGAATGTAGCGAGTGGCGTAGAACAGACCGACCTAGTTCCAGTCTATGTTCTTGAGTGATTTGTGCTGTATGCGGTCTTGCGTTGTGCTGGAAAAAGTCAGCATTTTTCCTATCCGTGAGCGTAAGGCGTTTTTTGACCAAACAATTATAGACACATTCCAGCTGCTGTACGTACAAGTGTGCATTTAATGTTCCAATTTTTTTTTTATGAAAATTTAACTGAATAAGGCCGTGACGATGCCACCATACGGACTTTTCTATCATGGAGCTCAGCTTTTGGTGTCACTTGTGGATAATTATCCATCTCCATCCACTGCCTTTTTTGTAATCATTTCACCCCAAGCAAAGGCAATAAAGCCACTAAGATGGAAGGGTAACTGAGAGTGTAAGAGACTGAGTAGATTTTGAGGAGAATGGACAATAAAAGAACAGGTTTCAGGAAGACAGATGATGGCGACTGACATTTACATTTCTGAAGAACGTAAATGACAAAAAATGACTGGAAATGAGAGTTCCGCAGTCGAGAAGTGTGATAGAAGAAACTGTTAGCATAGAACTTACGGTTACATTTAGCAATTACAACAGCAAAATCATGAGCTCTATCTACCAATCTGGTGCTAGCTTTAAATTCATGAAGTCGAGTTATCAAAGAGGAAAATTCAATTGACCTGAAAATATTTATAGAAAGGGCACAGGAAAGCTACGTCACAGCAACGGGCAAGTGACTGAAGCTGAGATGCCAGGTTAGGACCGATAACATTTCAGATTCTTCTTTGGATTTTATCAAGATTCTCGAGATAAATAGCAGGAGCACCAGACCAGATCTGGCAGCAATATCCAATGCATGAAGGAATGGTAGACATATAAACGTACAAGACGGATTCTGACGAAAGAAAAAACAAACATCTGACACGACACAGGCAACCAACTTTCCTGCGAGCAGCTTGTAAGCGTTCTGAAAGCAAAGGAAATATTTGTCGCAGATTAATTCCACAACACAGAGTCAAATCACTAAGTTCAGACTCGAACATCGGAGCAGAAAAAAATGCCGAAAACTCGATTCGCAGGTACTATCTCACAAATCCCAATGCACGTAACCAGTCAGAAAAAATAACTTACTTGCCGACGAACGCCGTAGCCAAAATGCATCAATTTTTTCCTCTTAATTCGAGAACACCAACTGCTTTTATCGGCCGAGCAGTTTTTCATTCGTCGACATCTGGGAGAGGGCGCCAAGTATTTTGCATAACAAAATACTTTTATAGAGACTCTTGCGACGGACTTGTTTTTAATCTAAATATTCTGTCTTCAACATGTCATGCGGAATACGTACCCTTTTTTTTTTTTTTTTTTTTTTTTGGTAAGTAATTTTCTTTTCCGTCGTAGGATACACGACGCGACGCGCTGTCGCTTGGTTTGACGAGGTAAGTCGCCGTTTTCTTCGCTATACAGCCTCAGCAAGGGATTCAGTCTAAACCTTCCACTTCATATGAGAGGAAAACTTTATACCGAGAAGGGGCAATGAATTGCTCACCTGCAGATGGGCACCATGCAAGTATTCTGGCGGAAGGCAAAAAAAGGCTTCTCTGAAAAGACTAAAAGACAATGATTCCTTTTTGGTGGCGTTTATGGATCAAATTATCAACAGATTGTAGGTCAGTTTTGGGATCAGCTCCCAATTTTGAATTTATCGTGCCTATCGGATTTACTATTAAGGCAAAGGAGTAAATAACCTTTGCCATCAGTATAGCTACCGAGGCGGTAACTGATGACATCGGGGGAAGGACGTTGATCAAGATAAGAAACAAAGGAGATCCCCAAGGATAAGCGCGCCCTGGGAGACATTTTGCGGTTAACATTGGGGTATGTTAAAGTAATCTAAATGTATTAACTGGCACATCTTTTAATGGTTAGAATGATACTTTCACCATTACAATTGCTACAAAAAAACAAAAATTACTTCTGACTGAAATTAATAAATCGGAAAGGAATCAGTAAATTGTAAAAGGCAAACGTATTCGTAATGCTTGAATTATTATTTAACGAGAAGGAAGGTTTCGGCAATCACTGGGAAAATAACGAGCCTTAGGTTGCAAGCACTCTTACAAAAGATAGCGAAAAAAAGCGAGAAGAAAGGACTACTAATTGCAAGAAGACATGGCTGTTAGCAAAAGAGGCGGCCCACCATGCAAATTACAAATTGGGGTTATCAAAATCAAACAAATACAAAAATTTAAATATCTGGGAAGCGTTTTAACAAAGGTCGGAAAGTCAGACACCGAGAGCAGAAGGTGGATTAGGATATCAAAGATGCCTTCCAAAAGCTAAGCAAAGTATTAAACAAGAAAATCTCATTAAAAACAAGGAAACAAGTACTGAATTGTAATGTAATGTCAGTCCTCCTATATTACATTGAATGCTGGACAATCTTTTCACAGATGAAGAAATAATTAGAGCAACAGAAACGTAGAATCTATACTGGCTGCAAACCGCCTGCATACGGATATTAAATGAGTTCAGCAGATATACAAGAATAGAAAAATTTGTAAGACAAGGATGTATCTTATCAACGGACAACCAATACAGTGTGGCGTCTTCTGAGAGAATTAGAAATCCTAACGGGATTCATTATTTGCGGCCTAATCTTAACAACACAAGATATGCAGATGACACAGTGTTGATGATAGACACGGAAAGAAAGTTGCAAAAAACTCTTACAGAAAGTAGCAAAGGAAGGCGAGAAGAAAGGACTAAGCATCAACTACAAGAAGACAGAATTGCATAGTTGTTAGCAAAAGGACGCACCCAAAATGCAAATTACAAATCATAGGCAAACATCAAACAAGCACAAAAATGTAAATATCTGGGGCGTATTTTAACAGAGTGCGGAAAGTGCGACACTGAGATCCGATAACGTATTGGGATGGACAAAGATGATTTCCAAAAGCTAAGCAGAGTATTAAGAGACAGGAAAATTTCGCTAGAAGCAAAGAAAAGAAAACAGAAGTGTTACGTGATATGTTTTTCTATATGACACTAAATACTAGACAATCTCCTAAAAGATAAAGAAAAAAACTTAAAGCAAAAAATATGTTGTTCTACAGAAGGATGCTGAGGATACCATAGGCTAAACATCTGAGCAACGAAGACTTTTTAGAGAAAATGGATACAAAAAGGACGCTTATACTTAACATCAGAAGAGACAGTTGAAATTTCTAGGACATATAATGAGGAAAGCGGGCTTGGAAAATTTGACACTCACTGGATATATTAAAGAGGAACTGAAGAAACATCTCATTACCTACCTGACTAGCTTGTGTTCTTTTTTACAAAGATGTACACCCTGAACAAGGCCCAAGAGTCTCTCGAGGTAGAGGGTTACAGAGTAAAAGGCACCACCCTGAGCAAGGTGATAATGTCATCAAGACGCAAGGAACCACCGGAAGTGAAAGAGAAGGAAAAAAAAACTTTAGAATGAACTGGAAACCCATTCCAAAATAAGAAACAAGGAATAAGCCTGTACTTCAGCTCATAAGACTGGGGAGGAGTGTGAACCGAGTGTCGCTAGCGCTGTCTAAAGCGAGAAACCCTCTCTTTTGGGAGAGATCACCTCGTCCCATTAATGAGTGGTGGAGGTCAAGTAGAAGATAGTAGAATTAAATGTTTCAAAAAAGGAATAGTTGGGAGATCAGAGTTTAGATAAGATAGCAAAAAGAAAGTGCTACAAAGGAAAGGAAATTGTGGAGAGCCATAATCATCACGTTCTTTGTTTCTTCTCCACTTAATAAATAATGCACATGGCTAGACCCAGATTCTATCAGATACAGAATTTGAAGGCATCGTTTTTTTCTCCATGTCTGTATATAAATGCAAGTCACTAAATAAAATTTCTACTCGATTTCTTTGATAAAGTTCCTCAGGGAACGAAACGTGTTGGCATAAAAGGTTTTTCTTCACGTGATTTCTTTTATTAATATTTACTTACCTGCTTTATTTCATGTATTTTCCGTCTATAAACTCGATCTTCGTTCTAAATATCTCAGGTTTACTGCCACGTTGAAACACCCTTTCCCGTACGATCACCGCAGTTAAGCAACGTCGAGCCAGGTCAGTACTTAGAAGGGTGATCGCTTGGCTGTTGCAATGGATACGGCTTAGAATTGTACATCGGAGAGCCGTTTCAGTTAACGTTGGGTTTGTTATATTCACTTACGCGCAAATACACTTGAGAAACGTATGACTCCGCCTTTTGTTCCCCAGCTATGGGTTAATTAGTTAAACTGGTATCACTAAAACCATTTTTATCGAACCCAGTCAAGACCTAGACATGTAACTGGTATTTCCAAGCTGCCATCCATCCACGTGCTGACCAGGCTCGGGTTGCTTAACTTCGGTGATCGTTCAGGAATCGGTGTTTCATCGTCATATGGCCGTAAGCAATCACGGAAGCAAACGTTAAAAATATGAAATCCTTCTTGCCTTTTTCATCTTCCTTTTTTTCTTTCATTATTTTTCTTTCTTTTTCATTTTTTCTTGTATTTTTCTTTGTTTCTTATTATGTGTACAATCTTCTTTGCACTAAAACCAAACAGCCTCTATGATATAACTTTTATTTTCCTCTTTTCGTAGCAATCAAAACAAAATGGTTCATTATTTACCTGAGGCAATAACACGGTGTAATGCCTGTGATAACTTCTTAACTATATTAACTAAAAAACGATCCATCAGAATTAATAAATTTTAATAACAAACGAAATATTTAATTGGAAATCGTCAGAAGAAAGTAAAAAACAAACAAAAAACAATTGATTGTATAAATTTTTTATGGAAATTCTTTCAGCAGGATAATTTATATGGAAGACATATAGAATATTTTTGTGTTTCTGGTAATTGTCCAGATATTTGACAATGGCTATTCAGTAATTTACCGGATACATATATATATATATACATACATACATTTATACACATGTATTACAATCATATTGGTTGTTGACAAGATTTAAACGTGATTTCTTTCATGCAGTCAATATACACTTTTTAATTACAAAAAACAATTACCGCTCATCTTTTATCGTCCACTCGGAAACATTTTTATGAAAAATATGTCCTTCCAAACACATCTACGCACATGCGCAGAAAGATATGTACACAATAAAGATGGCGATGCAACTGTTTATGGAATGTATAGAAGTTTATGTTATTATTATAATTTTCCGTTTCAAAATGTTTTTCATGGGACGAGAATCGCACTCAATGTTTATTCTCTTTTCCATTTGTTATTTTTTGGGGATTTTCTTCTTATTAATCTTCCCAACAGAAACGAAAAGCTGTTTGTCATTTGCGACAAACATCTGGAGGCTATGTCGTCTGCAACTCTTCAAAATCAATTCTTTTCTGGATTCCATCATTCGTGCTTTTAAATAAGTTATCAGCCATATTATTTGATTGTCTGGACCCTTTCGGCACTTTTCAGTTATACAACAACATATTTTAGACCCTAAACTTAATCTCGTATAGAAGCCGCCTCTATAAAACTGACCCTGGGAATATTGTAACTATTAGTATAGAATCTATCTTACATATCTATGTCTATCTTTCATCCATGCTTAGAATATTGCTGCCACATATGATCCGATGCACCTGATATTTATCTTGAGCTCCTTGAAAGAAGAATCAGCAATATTATCGGTCCTGATCTGGCAGCTCGGCTTCAGTCACTTCGCCACCGATGCCTTTCTGTGTCTTTTCTATAAATATGTTTACGGTACTTGTTCTGAAAGGCTCTTGCCTTTTACTTAGACCTTATGAATTTAAACGCAGGATTACACTGGCGTCAAGATCTCATCAATTTACAGTTGAGCTCGCTAGATGTAGCCGTAAGTTCTATGCTAACATTTTCTTCTCTCGCATTTCTTGTTTGTAGATCTCCCTTCCGGCTTTATGCTTACTAGCCAACTTTAATCTCCAAAAATGTAAATGCAATGTCTATCGCTATCTACTGTATTTCTGGTTACTCTTTTTTGTTCCCGTTCATTAGCAAAGTTTCTGTTTCTAACTATTCCCAGTAACCCTTTGCATCTTAGTGGCTTTACTGCCTTGCAATGAAATCGATTTAAAAAGAAATTAAAATTTTAAGTTTTATTTTAAGTTTAATAATTATTAAACAAATCTAATCGATGTAGTCGGCTAAAGCTACACAACTCCACACTTGCATTATATGGAGTCGTATTACTGAAAAGTGACAATCTTTCTTTCAGTAGATCAGGTTTTTTCATTGGGGGGGGGATGAGCTCGTGGAAAAATGTTCATCTGCAATGTTATTATTTGTATTTAAAAGTTTCTCATGCTTATTTGTGAATTCAATTAATTTCATGACATTTTCCCGGTTTAACAAAAATAAGTCCGTTAAAGTTCAAAGGTAAGATGACCAATATATCTTTTTTCATGTCCTTGAACCCTCAACTGCAAGAGGCATGACTGTTGATATCATGGGTGCTGTTGAATCGTCTCTGGGTAATCCTGCTATCTCTTTCGTGTTTGCGTTGCTGTCTGTTGAAACGGTTTTCTTCATACAAGACACCCGCTGATGAAACAGGTACTCATGCCCATAAACCTTACGATAAATAAAGCATCTTAATTTATACAAGACTAAATGAATAAGCTGCAGGATTGGTGTGACAATGAATGCCAAGACAAGTGCCAACGCCATCGATGACCAAGGATAATTCCAGTCAAGGATTCCCACGTAGACAATATGGTTTACTGGATCGTACGACCAGTACGTAATATTGAAGATCATGTACATTAATCCGTAGAGCACTGAATAAAGAAAATGGTAAAATCGGACAGGATATGCGGAAAAAAGTACTTCCATGATAACAAACGCTGTGTTGAGGGCGTGAATATTAACATCTTCAAAGGAGATCCCATTTTTAATGGCCTCCTCGCCAAAAGTAGGATAAATAGCCCCAAAAAACACCAACGTCACTATGATGGACCAATTGAAAACAACACTAAAAACCAGCCACGAGAGCTTCATGTACCAAGTACTTCGGTCGGCGTTCATATTGAATTCTGACGTCATATCCGCTTCAAGATCAGCTTCAGATTTCCCCTGGAAGTAGACGTTCGGATCTGCTTTTTCGTCGTAGAGACCAACTGGTAGTGTCAGTCGACGAATACTGGTTGGTTTGACTGGATGCGGTGTATTGCCGACTCGACTGACAGATCTGCGTTCGCACCAGATGCAGTAGACGACATTCATAGCGGCAAGGTTGAAATGAATAACAAGCAGGATGTATGTCCACGTGGTCATGTAGACCATCACGTTGTGGGCGACGTCCACGTGGCCGGACATCACAACGACATAATCGATGAGGCAACCAGCCGTGTAGACAGCCAACACTATCCGGTAAAGAAGATAAAGCAACCAAGACCATTGCCACTAGGAAAAAAAAAGAAACAGAAAAACATATTATTGTCAATGAAAACAGGATTTATAGTTACAAGCTGAAAATAAAAGTTCATTTCTTAGTGGAAAAAGTGATTTTTTTTTCAATTAATTGAAAATTGTTTTGGGTGAATGGTGGAGGGTGAATTGCAAGCCAATAAAGACACCGGGGAGGGGCGAGAAAATTTTAAAAAATATGAAAAATAAAACAATTAACAAAAATATGACCAAGAATTACAATAAACATTAATAACTCATCTCAAAAGTCTTACACAATAATTCAACAACGAAGATAGATAGATAGATAGATAGATAGATAGATAGATAGATAGATAGATAGATAGGAACAGGCTATGAGATAGATAGATAGATAGATAGATAGATAGATAGATAGATAGATAGATAGATAGATAGATAGATAGATAGATAGTGGACAGACTAAGATAGATAGATAGATAGATAGATAGATAGATAGATAGATAGATAGATAGTGGACAGACTAAGATAGATAGATAGATAGATAGATAGATAGATAGATAGATAGATAGATAGATAGATTGGAACAGGCTATGAGATAGATAGATAGATAGATAGATAGATAGATAGATAGATAGATAGATAGATAGATAGTGGACAGACTAAGATAGATAGATAGATAGATAGATAGATAGATAGATAGATAGATAGATAGATAGATATGAACAGACAAAAATAGATAGATAGATAGTGGATATGAACACAAAAAATAGATAGATAGATAGATAGATAGATAGATAGATAGATAGATAGATGAACAGACAAAAAATAGATAGATAGATAGATAGATAGATAGATAGATAGATAGATAGATAGTGGACAGACTAAGATAGATAGATAGATAGATAGATAGATAGATAGATAGATAGATAGATAGATAGATAGATAGATAGATAGTGGACAGACTAAGATAGATAGATAGATAGATAGATAGATAGATCATTTATATATAAAATAGACCTGGTTCTAGAGTGAAAAAGATTTTGCTAAACTATATTCATACCAAATAATGATCATTCTGTTTGCTTTTTTGTCTGATTCTCCTTTCAAATTATTTGATGTTCGTTGTCTCCCCAACAGGATTCAATCGTGCATGACACGTAACAGACACACTAATTGTGTTTCCCGAATGCATTATTCCGAATATATATATATGTGTGTGTGTGTGTGTGTGTGTGTGTGTGTGTGTGTGTGTGTGTGTGTGTGTGTGTGTGTGTGTGTGTGTGTGTGTGTGTGTGTGTGTGTGTGTTTCGGAAGATATACATCAAACCAAAGAGAGTCTTTGAAGTCAATATCGCTCGGTCTTCTCTGCCTTTCTCTCTTTGTCTATTTGTGAGATGCGACAATGATCGCGATCTTGAACATTTCAAAACTTAATTTAATAAATGTCTAAATTTCTGAGAGGGGGTATTGTAACTATTTACACTATTTATTCTTCCGACTATTGTCCTCAACTTTGTTGCCATACTCATGATGTTTCGGCCGTTGTACGCTCTGGCCTTCTTCAGCATCTGCCTATATTTCTGAAATGAGATATAATTATTTGTACGGACTGTTGCCCTCATCTTTATTGATATATTCACCATATTATACCTCCACTATCTTGCCTTTCTTGCTTTCATTTCCTTTCCATAGAACCAAACAGC